AGCAAAGGGTCTGATTACTCAGGACCATGTGATAGTTCAGTTTGTCCTTTTAACACATCTGCAGAAGTTTCTAGAATCCTGTGTTTCTGTCAGTGCGGGGGCTGTATGTATATTAATGAGGAAAAAAATCATTTAGTTGATTTTAGCAAATCCCTACTGGCAAGGGTCAAATGTTACTTTCTGGCAGTCCTATAGTGTAAACAAAATGAAGAATCATAAAATGTGTCAAATGTAAAACTTTGGACTGATAGATTAATAACTGAAACAATCCTGTTGATAAATCAGTAAATAGTTAATATTTAGAATAATAGTGTGGAGGAGGAAGGACGACACAAAGGTAGGTTTCATTCACAAGAAATCATTAGAAAATCCTAATGTGTTTTATTTCACTTTTGCTAATCACATTTTTTTTACATTTCAAAAACATTCACAGGATCAATGCTTAAATATTTATGAGGAGTTCCATGCAGCCAGGAGGGAGATTCTGAAGATGAGGAACCATTTTCAAACACTGATCAACAACACCAGCGTCCTGAAAAACTCCAGCAGCCATCTGCTTCCACTTCATATGGGGACAGGCCAAACACTAAACAGCATATACACAGATTTCTATTTCTGTGGATCTCTGTATTTCTTGAGCTCCTTTTGTTGTTGTTTCTACATCCTTTTGTACTCTGAAAGCCTTCTTCCCTTTCTGTTTCAGTTTGCCCTAAAACAAAGACTTATCCTGATATAACCGAGTCAGAATTCCGAATTTAGGTTGGTTCCTGTGTGTTTTTTCTATTTGAACATTTAGTCTTAATGGTGCATTATGTAGAAATGGAGTAAAAATGGCATCCTTTGGTAAAATGTGGTTACTGCAACCACTTTAAACAACTCTGGAGCTTTTTGCCGGCCGTTGTCAAATTACAATTGTCGGCGCTGCAGTACTAGCTCGCAGGAGACACTCACTGATGGTAAGCAGTAGTTACGTCCCTCCTTACTCCGTTTTGAAAGGAGAAAAACGGACAAATCCCGCTACCAGATGCAGTGTTGGGAGTAACGCGGTACAAAAGTAATTAATTACTGTACTGCATTGCTTTTCGCTGTAATGTGGTAATGTAAGGCATTACAGGGAAAGAAAATGGTAATACTCTGTACAATTGTCAGTAACGCAGTAATTACAATACATTTTTAAAGCCAGAATCAAGATGTGGGTTTTGTTAAAATTCAAATTGCAGGAAGCCTGAAAAAAGATCCAGTATCCACATATATGACGTCATTTATGGACTCAGCTTTGCGGGCATTCTATGAGCAGAGAGGACGCAGCGGTGACGGCTCAAATACTCCAGCTGCGTCCTGCGCGCGGCCGCTGTTATATTCACAAAATCGCTCCACCAAATCAAAGTAATTCATTTGCGATCGTTTATATCAGCCCATACTCTCTGGTACTTCATGTACTTTTCAGCTGAGTTCATAATCTGTGCCCCGGTGATTTCAGCTCATTGCTGCTGGAGCGCAGCGCATATGAAGCTGTTTTTTTTGCGTTCGGTAGATCCCTTTGGCTGATTAGTTAGAAAGTAGGAAATCTAGTTTACAGTTTTTCTGGAAGGCGGAGAAAACATGCAGCACGCAGGAAGGTTAGAGAGAGAAAGGACAGGAAATTATTCACATAAAATCAAGAAAACAAAACAAAGCGCTTGAAAAGAAAAAAGTAGGTAGATTTATCCCCAAGACACATTTTTACCAGTGAAAAGCAATAATATATAAGCATTTAATATTTATACATGTGATAGAATCAGATCACCCCAGAAGTCAGTCCCACATCCAGGGCCGTATCAAGGCATTTGGGGACCAAGGCAAATATAGGCTTGGAGCCCCCACCACCTCACTTCCTGCTCAGTTAATCAAAGATGGCAGCATGCTGAGAGTACAGATTGTTGTTGCTTTTATTTAATAAACAATCATTTTAAAGCACTGTTATTATATCTGACTGTTTTTAACAGCAATCCTAGCTCAGACACCACATCACCTTCCACATATATGTCATGAGCTCACTGAGCGTCACATGACCAGATTCATATTGAAGTTGTTTTGGTGAAAGTAACTTAAAGTAATGCAAAAGTAGTGTGATGCCTTACATTTTAAAATAAGTAGCATTGTAATGTAATGAATTACTTTAAAATGAGGGTAACAAGTAATAAATAATGCATTACAGTTTTGAAGTAACTTGCCCAACAGTGGCCAGATGGATATGAAACATGTTTCAGAAGAACCTTCCTTCCCAAAGGACTGAAACATTAGACTGTTGGGATTTTCTCGCTGTAGGATTCTCACTACAGTCTCACATACTGCACCTTTAAACTTTGCTTTTTCTGTTTTATCGCTTTTCTCTTCTGTAAGGTCTGTTTTTGTTAATGTGACTCAATTCCAGTTTCTCATTGAGCATCAAGAACAACCGTAAACCGCCACACTTGTTTCTGATCTTTAATGCTTCACCCTAACTCTTAATGATTCACCCTTACATTTTACTAAGTAACAGCACATGACCTAGATCCCACCCCAGACAAATAAGGATGGTTAGTGGAGTGAACGTCACAACCACTGTGGCCGAGGAAGGTTTCATGCTTACCTTATCTCGTCATTATTGGTCACAAGCCAATGTGTGAGTTTTTTGTGATTTGAAAACAAAGTAGGTGGGAGCGGCCAGCTGGAAATGAGACAACTCAGATGTGACCTTTGTCCTTCACCTGCAGGTCTCTAAGTCTTTTATAAACTCATTTACTGAATGACAGAAAACACCTGACACTTACTCCAGGTAGAGTCAGCGTAAATCATACTCCCTGGAACCTGAAACGCAGTAATCTACCTGCTGTGCCTTGTAGTGACTTGATTAGTTAGGTTATTTATTTTTGGAGCAGTGATCTTATCACAACAATCATCAAATGCTTCACAGAGACAGAAGTGCTTAAGGTCACCTGCTGAAAACCAGTGTTGGGCAAGTTACTTCAAAACTGTAATGCATTATTTATTACTTGTTACCCTCATTTTAAAGTAATTCATTACATTACAATATTACTGATTTTAAAATGTAAGACATTACACTACTTTTGCATTACTTTAAGTTACTTTCACTAAAAACAACTTCAGTATGAATCTGGTCATGTGACGCTCTGTGAGCTCATGACATATATGTGGAAGGTGATGTGGTGTCTGAGCTAGGATTGCTGTTAAAAACAGTCAGATATAAT